TTGAAATATTGAAAATCCAAGATGGCGGGCAAGCAGGTGTCTGTGAAAATGTCAACATCAATTTTCAGATTCTTCATGTTCTGGAGATTTAAAAGATATATAGTTTTGCTAATCTCCAAAAATTTTGAACGAAAAAACATAGTAAACTGGACTATACATTCAAAGTTTTTGAAATTTCTTTGTAAATTTGTATTTTTGATGAATATTGTTCCTATATTTTGAGCAGTACCAGTGATGTATTTTACTTGGAGTGACTAAAAAAAATCAATAAATTCACTGCATTCAATTACCCACTATAGATTCTGGTCAGTCAAAATGACTATTTTGAACTGTAGGCATTATTCTGTGATTCAGCCAAAGACAAAGAGAAAAACCCTCTGCCTAAATACAAAAAAAAAAAAAAAAGTTAGTCAATCAATAAATTCACTGCATTCAATTACCCACTATAGATTCTGGTCAGTCAAAATGACTATTTTGAACTGTAGGCATTATTCTGTGATTCAGCCAAAGACAAAAAGAAAAACCCTCTGCCTAAATACAAAAAAAAAAAAAAGTTAGTGTTGAGCTTGTGAAAGCACTCGCATAATAGGGGTGGTAATTGAGACTATATCCAAATTTAGATTTTAATCTGATTGATTTTCAGCGAACACACTCAGTAGCCCACAACATGTACCACTATGTTCATTATGCAAAACAATAAACAAGATGGCGACGAATGAACATCTTAACTGTTAATAGCTTTAGAACCAAAGTGAAATTTACAAACAAATATTAATATATCCATCACCTTTTTATAATATTGCCAATTTTTTAACATTCAGCAAAAAAATGTGAAAAAAAAAAATGAAAAAAGTTGAATATTTTGCTTTTAAATGGTTTATTTTTAAAAAAAAAATTCTCTACTGTAGATTGAATCACATGGTGCTGTGGCGTGTGATGTCGAACAGTGTTCCAATGTTGGCGTAGAGGTACTTAAAAAAGGTGGGAATGCTGTAGACGCTGCAATATCAACCATGTTATGCCTGGGTGTCGTCAACCCGCAGAGTTCGGGTTTAGGAGGGTAGGCATTACCAATGTTATATTTGTACTACTGTAGTGTTTGATTATCTATAATATTTGTCTAAATTCAGTGTTCAATAGAATAGAATAGAATAGATTAGATTAGATTAGAATAGAAAATAGAATAGAATAGATTAGAATAGAATAGAATAGAATAGAATAGATTACAATAGAATAGATTAGAATGGAATAGAATAGAATAGAATAGAATAGAATAGAATAGAATGGAATAGAATGACAGTAAAGCAAGTTTGACTTTACTTTTTACTAATATGAATATTGTGCAAGGATTTATATGATGAAGGTGTGCATTAGATATTTAGGTATACTGTAAAATACTTTATTTTAGCTGGAATTAATTTTCTCTGAAAAGGACTTTTGGGTGTTTTGTATGGAATTTATTTTCATTGATTTTTGATGAATTGCTTGTGAAATATAGGAAAAAAAAGTATATTCACTGGATTTTATTTTCACTGAAGCATCCCTTCAGCAAAAATAGCGAAAATAAATTACAAGCGAAAATAAAGTATTCCACAGTGTCCCATATTGTGTCAGTTCCATGCACATTCAAGATAATTTGTGACCTCAAGGCATCACAGAACAAAATGGACACCTGGAGAGTTTTCAAATAGAAATGCACAATGTTATCGCAAAAGTAGTAAACATGTAAATAATAAACATTGCTACTGTAAATGCATTAATTATTCTCAGGGTTTGAATTTCGCTAATGAGTAAATTCCGCTGAGTCAAATCTACGTGAACTTGTAAAATAAAAATAAAACTCATTGTTTTCTTGCCAAATTAATGAAATTAAAACACAGTGAATATGCTCAAAACATCAAAATAGTGAAATTAAATTAATAAATGGTTTTACAGTATTTTGTATAGTTGTATTTAGCTGTCTAAAATTTCATCCACCTCAGATTTTTCTTTTCGGACAATGATTTGATTCTAATTTAGGCTTTAAGTAATGAAAACAAAACCATTGAACTGATAGTACGTAGCCTTAAAGACGCTGGAAGAATCAAACATCATGCAAACGATCATCTACTTACTTAGACCTACGCACAAAAATAACTTACTTTTCAAGGTTCTAACAGTAATGCTTATATTCAGTCATGATTTGATACAAAAAACATTACCTCTTTGACTTGCTATGAAATAAGTTTCAAGTTTGTATTATTGTGAATAAATGTTTTAAAACATGCTACTCAGTATAGAAGCTGAAGTATGCAATGTTGACCTACCATGGTGACCTTTGACCTGACAGGTCAAGAATACCTTTAACCAATCAGAATACTGCATGGTAATATTGATAGTATCTTGTCATTTTCTGAATACTATTGACAATCACATTGAATGGATTTCTGAAGTAAATCTTGTTATTTTCTTGGCCTTGAAACATCACAAGTGATTATGTTTTAAAGGAAATGTTGCTTTCTGACAAAAAATGATGCACCAGGTTATATGTATTTACATAATTTTTTTGTGTAAATATGCTGAGATAAAAATTTGTTGGTAATCAACAATACACACTGTAATTGGAAACACAGTAGGTAATCAGTTGCTCTAATCTTACAACATTTGGGGCAATCTCGATGACAATATCTTGATGGTTTTCACTGTAAATGTATTCAAAATTTAAAAGATTTTATGGTAATTGATATTTTCTGTGGATTTATTTCCTTTGTTAGCAAGTTTGTTTATGTGCCAGAAATGTTGACCATGCTGGTTCAAGGTATATTCATAAACTCAAAATGACATTCAATTTACTTTTCAGCGGTGGATTCATGATGGTAAAAACTAAAACTTCAGTAGATGCGTTTGATTTTCGTGAAGTGGCTCCAGATGCTGCACAAGAAGACATGTTTCAAACTAATGAAACACTTTCAGTGAAGGTATGTGAATTGTGCATATCCCTGGTAATGTGTCCAATATGTTGTGGTAATGTGGCTAATATGTTGTGGTGAGATGGCTAGTATGTTGTAACGTGGCTAATGTCGTTAAAATGTTGTGATAAAGTGGCTACTATGTTGTGGTATTGTGGCTACTATGTTGTGGTAATGTGCCTAGTATGTTGTAATGTGGTTAAAATGTTGTGGTAATGTGACTAATATGTTTTGGTAATGTGGCTATATCTTGTGATAAAGTGACTAAATTGCTGTAGTACTATGGCTAATATGTTGTGGTAATGTGTCTAATATGTTATGTGGCTAATATGTTATGGTAATGTGGCTAATATGTTGTGGTAATGTAGCTAATATGTTGTGGTAATGTGGCTAATATGTTATGTGGCTAGTATGTTATGGTAATGTGGCTAATATGTTATGGTAATGTGGCTAATATGTTATGGTAATGAGACTAATATATTAATGTGGCTAAGAACTTTTTCTATTTCAACTAATAGTCATTAAAATACATGTTCAACTATTTATTAGTGTAGCTAACATGTTGTGCTAATGTGACTACTAAATAGTGCTGATATACATTTCTAATGTCACAAGAAACAGGCATAATCCAAAGGGTTGCAGTAAGTTTACCATACCCTGAAACTCGGTAATAATGGAAAGCATGTTCTGCAAAGATCATTTGTTATTTTGTGGGCTGATGCATAATATTGTGGCTAATATACGTTGATAATATGGCTAATATGCATTGATATTGTGGCTAATATGTATTGATAATGTGGATAATAGGCATTGATAATGTGGATAATATGCATTTATAATGTGACTAATATGCATTGATATTGTGGCTAATATGTATTGAAAATGTGGATAATAGGCATCGATAATGTGGCTAGTATGTATTGATAATGTGGATAATAGGCATCGATATTGTGGCTAATATGTATTGATAATGTGGCTAATTTGCATTGATAATGTAGCTGATATGCATTGATAATGTGACTAATATCCATTGATAATGTGGCTAATATGCATTGATATTGTGGCTAATATGTATTGATAATGTGGATAATATGGCTAATATGCATTGATAATGTGGCTAATAGGTATCGATACTGTGGCTGATATTCATTGATAATATGGCTTATAGGTGTTGATAATGTGGCTAATATTCATTGATAATGTTGCTAATATGCATTAATAATGTTGCTAATAGGCATCGATACTGTGGCTGATATTCATTGATAATGTGGCTAATAGGCATTGATAATGTGGCTAATATTCATTGATAATGTTGCTAATATGCATTGATAATGTGGCTAATTTGCATTGATAATGTGGCTGATATGTATTAATAATGTGCATAATAGGAATCAATAATGTGGCTTTTTTTGAAAATTGAGCATTACAATTGTCTCACTATGTTTTCATTTTCTGTACTAAGAATATTTTTGATTTCAGGGTGGTTTGGCTGTGGCGGTTCCCGGTGAACTTAAAGGAATAGAAATGGTGTGGAAAAAATATGGACTATTAAAATGGGGAGAACTTTTTGAACCAGCGATTAATTTAGCAACTGATGGATTCACGGTCACAGAAGCAACAGGTATAGCTTGGTGCACTGTACGTTTTATTAACTAGAACATGTATATGTATATGAGGTTATTATGAGGATACCTCAAAGTAAACAAAGACAGTACAGCTTATTATTATACATCTTTTCCTTCCAAGGATAAACCATGGGAATGCCGAAATCCAAAATGTTTAGAACAGAATCAGCAAACTTCTTTGTGTGGAGTCAATTCAAACTTTAGTGGCAGCCATGTTTGTTTTTATTATTAAGAGGACGCTTATGCATGTAATCATTCCATATTTGGAATTTGCATTTCCTAATATGGTAGGATGAAAATACCCTGTAAAATACCGCAAAATTATGGCACACTGTAACTTATGGCGTTGCGGTGACAGATGTATAATAATAAGTGTTCTTATTATTAACATATGAATCTTTGCATGAATTGTCTTAGTGTTCATTAATAACAAGAGACTATACCATATACTATATACACTGTAACCTCAGTATAATGAACACCGTTATAATGAACTTCCTGATATAATGAACACATAGCGTGTCTCCCGCTCACAACAAACCCAATGTATTATGTGCTTCAATATAGTGAACATTTCACTATAACAAACTAATTGTATGTCCCCCAAAGAGTTCGTTATAACGAGGCTACAGTGTAATATGTAATGACAATGATTATCAAAGTTTGCCATTTCTCAGACAAACATTGACCTTGTTACAAAGACGATACACTGTGTCATACATATACTTGTCAATTGTTTTTATAAATTCAAATACTGGTAGCCATTTTGGATTTATGTATCTTGACCGTGCCTGCAATGTATGTCAGAGATGACCTATTGCCAATTTCATTCAAACTCAAAAAAGGTTAAAGGGCAGTGGTTGCTGCGCTGCGCATCTTTGAATTTCACATAAACAATGTATATTACACGCATTGTGTCTGTCGCTATGAGTCCCATATCGAACGTGGCGCACCGTGACGACCACTGCCCTTTAAGGACAAAATTATTTATTATAATTATTATATGATTTATCTTTCTTTATTAACAGAGTCGAGTATAGATGACACGTTTGATGAATTATCCCCAGAATTGAAGGCACTTTTAGCTCCAAATGGTAAAAAACTAAAAGCAGGACAGACGCTAACCAGGCCTACACTAGCCGCTACACTGCAAATTGTAGCAACTAGTGGTGCGAGTGCATTCTATGACAGTGTCTTGTCTGATAATATCGTAAATAGCGTAAGTTTAGTTTTTATTACCATTAGTTTTATTGAAAGCATGTGAATGACATCTATGTCTCGTATGACACTATAATACCTGTTGCCATGGATATGGGATGCTGATTCTCATGACATCACAGGCAGTGTTACACAAGTATCAACCAGCTCTATTAACTTTTATTGGGTAATAATACTATTTTATCACATGACCAAATTTGCCTGAAAAATCATAATTATTCAAATGATATGCTAATGAGGTCTTAATTGTATGATATAACCAAAGACAAAGTATAAAGTACAGGAGAGTTCAGAACTAAAAAAAAAATATGTTTCTGTTCAGTGTGCATACTGCTAAAAAAAGTTTGGGTCAATCTTTTTTTTTCACTCATTTTGCCAATGCAAAATATGTGTGCCAACAAATATTCCCCCCAAAAAATCACCTCATAGCCCTATTTTTTTTTTTGCAGGGCAAAGTTCACAAAAATGTTTGCAGTACTTCAAGTCTGTAATCATAGATATCATTAGTTTTATACATTTTTTTTGGTTTGATACAATTTTTTTCTTCTGCTGGTTGTGTCAGTGAAAAATATATTAAAAATGTTTATAATAAATATACTGCAAATTTGTTTGTTTTAATTTTTCTATTACATTTATCATATATAGGTCACTTCTACAGGTGGTATTTTAACAAGGCAGGATCTCCGTAATTATGCAGCCATTGAACGGTTACCGGTCGAAACCAAGTATCATGGTAATTTCTGTTGATATTAATAATATTATTTATCTGTTGTCATGGTGATAAATTGTAAAAATAGCATGTCCTTGGTAATCTCACAAAAAATTCACAGATATATAAATGCAATAGACAAGTTTTGAGTTCCGCTGTGCCATAGAAACTCTGGTGTAAAAAATGTCCAATTTCGTCTGCCTTAGATAGCTCATCAAAACACCGGAAACCCCTAAAAAACAGAAAAACAAGTGACCAGTTATCAGAGTCATCATGCTGTGTTCATTATTAAGTTAAATACATCAACAATATTAAATTATTTTTTACGCAATATTTGCATGACTTAATAGTATAATAATAGTTTTTATTTCGAGAACCAGCTCATAACATAAAGTTGAAAATTACTAAAAACACAACAGCAAAACAGACATTAGAAATATGGCGCCTTATAAATATCAGAAAAGACCCTTTTCCAGCAGTTGCTGTCCTTCAACATGTCAGTAGACATGGCTGCCACAATTAAACAATTCTCACTAGAAGTCAATCTTATGTAAAAGCCAGCCCTGGACTTGCGCAGAACACTTAAAAAAGTGGGAACACCATTTAAAATCTGAGTTTCAGAAATACTCAAATTACGACTGACATAAAAAATAGCGCGGAAAGCGTTGTTATAAGCAACCCGCACAGCATTCAGATTAGCTTTGGAAAATACAGCGATAGAAAAGTTACTGCAAAATAATAAAAAAATGCACTAATTGCATCTTTACTTTTATTGCAGACTACACCGTGTACAGTCATCCTGCACCTGCTGGTGGCCCGGTCTTCCTCTCCATAATCAATATACTTGAAAACTACAACTTTACATCTGCAGACAGCAATGATCCCCTCACTTACCATCGAATTATTGAGGTAATTAACACCCCCCCCCCTCTTCAAATGGTATCTTACCAGTATATGATACAGCTTGAACTTAATCACTTATTAATTATCACAAATTTTACCACTTTTTTTGGCAGGCTTTTAAATTTGCATATTCGCAAAAGTTGCAACTTGGAGATCCTGACAAAGTGAGTGAGGTCAACGATGTACAAGATATCATGATAAGGTAAGGAAAGTCTAGAAGTCAAAGGGCGCCTGAAAATAAGACTTGAAGACACATCTAGACACCTCATTATTATTTTGATTATATTTCAAATCAACATACTCGTACAAACTGCTACATTCCACCACTATAAATACTATTTTTATGTCTTTTTTAATCATTTTTTTTGATAATTTTAAACCAAATTGACTTGATTTGTTATTATTAGCAAAAGGTCTGGAACCAAAATTCTAGATAAAATAAAGTGTTATTTTGTGAACAGTGAAAAAATTTGATTTTGGTGTTCAAAGAGTTTGTTACTCTAGTGGGAATGTTCATTAGAGCAAAATTTTGCAATTTTCTTTCATGAAATGCATGAAAATTCAAGTGTTGTCATTGGCAACATGAATGTAAAAATCAAAGTCTGCTGAAAGGGAAATGGAAATGTGTGAGTTTCTCACAAAATCTGTGATGTTTGGAGAGAAAAAATGCATTTTTGTAAATTTAAGTTCCCATATACTGTAAAATTATGAATTTTTATCAGGGGATTGAATTTCACTATTTTGATATTTTCAACGTATGAAATATCAACGGATTTTCAAGTGAAACAATGAATTTTATTGTTCTTTCACATGTTCACTTGGGAAAATAGCAAAATCAAAATCCTGTAAATAATTAAAGCATTTCCAGTCAAATGATTTTTGGATTTCAAATGTTTATTATATTTGATGAGAGTAAGGAATAATTTATTATTATTAATAATTTATTATTTTGTTTTTTTATTAGTAAAGAGGCTGCGTTGTTCATAAAACAGAAAATCCTTGACAATAGTACATTCAATGCCAGTCATTACGGACCGTATTTCCCGGACATCGGGCAAGGAACCGCTTCAGTGACAGTCATAGACAAGGATGATAACATGGTGGCGCTCACAACGTAAGTAGATGACTTCCCGCCAGGAATATTTAACAGTTATAAATGGTTCGCTCAGATATTTGGTAGCAGACATAAGGTTTCACACTGAGGAAAATTAGCATATTTGGCCGGGAATAATAGCAGAACGTATGCAAAATTCATATATATTAAAATTTTTGGCAATAATAATTCATATTAGTACTTATAGCAGGTTTTCCTGCTTTCATCAGTTGATCATATACCCACAATCACAATGAACAGTGCTTATGTCGTGCAATCTTGATTCGTGGTGATCAACGCGCAGCGCGTGTTTGAATTTTGCGTAAATAAACAATGTATTTTACACACGTTGTATACGTTGCTATGAGTCCCATATCGAACAGGATGCGGTACGACGACTGCCGCCCTTTAAATATTTAAGCCAGAATCACAGGTATTTTAGCGCCAGGTATAAGACCTCGCTTTAGCCAATCAGATGGCTAGATTCAGACTAACCAGGTATTATACATCTAGCACTGAAAACTAAAAAAAAAAGCCGTATTCATTTGAATCTGAATTGTACTTGTTTGAATGTTTCCTGTATTTGGGTAAACTATGCATTTAAATGAAATAAACATTAAATGCGTTCCAGATTATTTACATTATACATCAAGCAATTTCCATAAAATACAGGTATTAGTGACAGAACAGGACAGTTCCTGCTAGTCAAAGACTGATTCCAATTAATTGCTTACAAAGCTTGATCACATAGTGAAACAAATGATATTTTAGTTATATAATTGATTTGATGAACAGACTAGGTTATACCTGGGCTTTTGCTAAAGCAATTGCATTTTATTTTACTTGGTGCAATGTACGCTATTCATATAGGATATTTGACATCACATCTCATCTTGTTGTGTATTCGTGACACAGGATGAATAATAGCCTCAGAAATCAGGCTTGGTTGAAATTGTAATTAAATAACAAATTTGCATAATTGATTATTGCTTCCATATATGGATTTTATTACAGGAGTATTAATTATAAGTTTGGAAGCAAAATAATGACATCAGATGGTATAATTCTAAACAACCACATGGCTGATTTTACATGGCCAGAGAAACAACAATCAGAATACAATGACACAATGTTGGCAAATACTACTGTAAGTACAAAAAATGTACAAAACGTTTCTTAAACATTTTTGGGGTAAAAAAATATGGCACTAAACTGTGTTTATCAGTACTTATATTACCAATATTTTCACCTGGGAGAGACACACAGACAGATGAACAGATGGAGAGGAAAACAATTTTAAATCAGTAAACTCTTATTTTTAAAAAAAAAAAAATTCAGGCTAACTACATAGAAGGGAGCAAGCGTCCCCAGTCCAGCGCTACCCCAACAATAATCTACCATGAAACCAAGCCATGTAACCCAAGGGTCGTGATGGCTGCAAATAATGGAAGTCGGATAATAACCGCCATAGCGGAAGTGTTCCTCAATGTGTTCTCGTTCGGCGAAGTGCATATCAGTGACGCCATAGAGGAACCCCGGTTTCACCATGGACTTGTTCCGAATGAAGTAGAAGTTGAAAGTAAGATTCCTCCAATGCCATGATACTTTATATACTGTGAAATACTTTATTTTAGCTGGAATTAATTTTAACTGAAAAGACATTTTAGGTGTTTTGTATGGAATTTATTTTCACTGATTTTTGACGAGTTGAATGTAAAATATAGAAAAAAAGCATATTCGCTGGATTTTATTTTCACTGAATAATTACTTCAGCAAAAGTAGCAAAAATTAATTCCAAGCGAAAATAAAATATTCTACAGTATGCTATTTCACTTTTTGCTTGTCCAATCAAACATCTTTAAAATGTTTCATCACGTCATTCTTGGTGACGTTATTTATGAACTACACTATTGTTTTTGTGTAGTTTCCAGGTCAGATATTCTTTGATAATCAATTTTTTGGTGATTATTTATGGTTATTTTGTAATTTACGAGTAATTTTCAATCAAAATTGGACACGTTTTAGAAATCTCACCTGTCAAATTAAATATTTTTTGCCTGTCAAAAATGTGAAGTGCCTGTCTAAAATGAAAGGTAGACAGGATGCTGGCTAAAAATCTAGTACTACCGGTAATACTGTAGAATACTGTATTTTCATTTGGAATTTATTTTCGCTGAAGGGATGACTCCGTGAAAATAAAATCCAGCGAATATACTTTTTTTCCTATATTTCACATTAAACTCTTCAGAAATCAGTGAAAATAAATTCCATACAAAACGCCCAAAAAGCCTTTTCAGCGAAAATTAATTCCAGCGAAAATAAAATATTCTACAGTATGTAAAGGGCAATGCCTAGTGAGTGAGTGCAGCTGAGCAAAGTTATTGATTTACAAAAAAAAACTGACATAACCATAAAATCTCAAAATGAGTATTCTGTAAGAACTCTAATATGTCTAAATAAAATACAATTCTTACAAAATGATAAAATCTAGTGACATTTGCCTGTTCGTTTAGATTCAAAACAAAACAAAAATGTGATTAAACTTACCTGGTAGTCCTAGTACCACCATTATCAATTTTTGTGTCCATCCATAAAAGTAGTCCTGTTACGTTGCTAATAATTTTAACGAATATTGATCCAATTGATTGATCCTGTGCGCAATGTCACAATCTAACACTTTGTGATGAAATTAGTGAAAATTGCTAAATATTTTGACAGGATTTTGCAGCATTTGAAAAAAGTTGAAAAATGAATTTAAACTAAAAAGGTGGATTTTTCATCTAAAACTTGTGATTAATATTACAGATGGTGTATCAGACGACATTATTGCGGGACTTGAAAGCCGCGGACATGACGTTGTCCAAGTGGACTTTTTGAATCAAGTTATGGCGGTGATGAAACATCAAGATATGTTAACAGCTCATGCAGACAGTAGAAAACCTGGCTCTGGCTCCTCAGTATTTTGAGATCACCATGTATGGTGATCTGGTATTTTATATAGTAGTACTGTAAAATCTGTATTAGAAGCTGCGGCTTCAAAATGGTAGAATGCAAGAGAGGGGATGAGGCTTCTATTAGAGCATCTACACATACATGTATGAGAAATGATGAATTTTTGGGTCTAAATTGTTCAAAAACAATGGGTACGGCTTCTATTAGGGATGCAGCTTCTAATACAGATTTTACAGTAGTAGTGGTAGTAGTAATTTATTTATTATAGTGACTTGCAGCTCCAAGAGCTGTCAAGCCCAAACTTATAAGTCATCTCAGAAATTAACTGATACATTTACAAATAAACAATGAAAGCTATGAAAACTTAAATCATGTCAATCAATTAATTCATGGCTATTTCATCTTTTAGAAAAAGCCTTTTCAAAACAAAGTTGCCAGTTTTCTCACTGGACCTGAAAAAGTACCGAATATGACTACTGGTAAATTTTGAATTTCATTCTGTATTGAACCTAAATACCTCTGTCGTAAGTCACTGTCATGGTTACAATCAAATATTAAATGATTTTCGTCCTCCGCAGCATTTGCATTACAAAAATTACAAATTTATTTATTTATATAGTAGTTATTTATGTCAATTTTTTTTTTTTGTAGCGAGTGTTCTTGTAAATTTCCATAGTTTAATACTTGAAAATATCGTTGAGGGCGCTCTACTTCTGTACCTACAGGCTGGTGGTTTACATGTACTGTAATTTATTAATAAAGTCAAACCTGTGTATAACGACCACCTAAGTTACTTAGAGAAATTGTCTTGTATAGACAGGTTGTTTCTATTAAAGAGGTTGATCTATTAATTTGTGAATTTCTCAGGGTAAAGTAAAATAAAAATAATTTACATACAGAAAGCTTACAATACCCTCAACCTAGTTAAAAATTTGGTACATAATCTTATATTAAAATTAAATTAATTAATACTGTCAATACAGTTTCATGAAAATATTTGGAAATCTTATTGTATATTGCAAATAGATTGCTTATTGCTAAACAAGGTCATATGTGAAAAAAAATTGTTGAGGTAAATGGTTAAGTGGACTACAGAATTACCGGATTTGGCTGATACCCCGCCCTGGGCGATCTCTTGGAAGATTTGATTTTTTTTTTTCAGAAATGTGTAGACCAAAAGATTGCCCAGGGCGATGTAATGGCAGATATTACAAAGCCCAAATTGTCTGGTAAAAAATAACCCTGCGCTGATAAAAGCGAAGGAAAAACAATGGCGATGGTAGAACCACTCATAATTTTATTCTTTGTTTGTATCGCATTCCAGTCAAAAAGTTCAAGATCGGTAAACATGCACCATGATTATAAAAAAACAACAGTTAAGCAGTCATGTATGTTCTATAAATCTAACCTTGCACACATAATCTTGTATGCATGGGATAGAATGAAACATGACTCGTTCAGTTAGAAAAAAATATGACTTTTTTAGACTAGAGGTAATAAAAACTAAGTGTCTTAAACTAAAAAAATATTTTTAAGTTTAAAACAGTTTGTCCAATGCTAGCCGATTAAACATGTTCTCATGAGAGAAAAAGCCTTTTCAAAACAGAACAGAGCAATCATAAGAGAAGATATTTTGGCTGTGTACACATTATTCCGGAGTGAAATTAAAATGGAGGATAAAGTACTACCGGTAACACCCAAACTACATGTGCTGCTTAATTATTGAGTCGAGTAATGTTATTGATTCAACATTTTAAAGTGCCCGAGTAATGTACGATGTTTTCTTTGCCAAAAACACAGCTAAACAATACTAAGGACCTAAGTGTTTCTGTTGAGGAAATGGGAAAACTCTAGCAGGATTGAAGCTCAGTAAATGAGATTCGTGACATTCTCTGACACTTTATCAAATTGTGCACACAAGTTTATTCTTGTGCAGACTGAGATTGTTAGGCCAGACTTTTTTTATTCCTTGTTTCTCAAGTTTTTATAAGGCAATTTTTTTGAGGAGGACAGAAAATTCCATTAGATTTGTGTGATCCTCAAAAAATTGTAAGTGAGATCATTGATCAGAGAGAAGAAATGAAATAAAATTTTATTCCATGTATAACCCTGTTTGTCATCTGTGCGAGACTTCGGTACTTTGATCATGTTACTCCCACGAAAATGCAACTTGGATTTGGTATGCGGCGAACGGTAAAAAAATAAAGATAAAAATATTATTGTTTTCGCAATTTTTTGCTCTTACAAGTCTAAGGGCGTGAGAAATTACACTGAAATAAAATTTTATTTTTATTTAATTTTCGGCTCTTGTTCATTTGGCGAGTTCTTGAAACAAGGGATAATAAAAATCCGGCCTTATTGTGCAGATTATGATTGTAATGCACACAAGGTTGTTATTGTGCATACCAAGGTTATCACTGTGAGGCTGTTTCAAATCTTGACTTTGGGCAGAAATATGCATTTATGTCATACACACCAATCTTCCTTTTTGAGGCTAATTATGCATGCATGTATATATAATATTATTAAAATAAGACACTTGCATAAAGAAAAATATTTATTATTTCAATACCGAGAAAACATCACATTGATACTTACCTAACACCACTGTAAATCGAGGAGGACACTCTTTTTGAAATTTCTTGGATTAAAAACATTGCATGTGGGCAATACAACTATTCTATGAATAGCGCCCTCTACCAATGGAATACTGTATAAAGTAGCACCCTGTCTTGATTGAACAGGTGTAGAAATCCAGGAAAGTGATTTCATTTTCCTGGAAGTAGTGAGACCCCGGTGTAGAAATATGCCTAGGCACTTTGTCATGGTGGAAAATGCACCAAACATATCATTTTGCTAATATTCGATAGAAGGGACTTCTATTTTTGTCACATCGATTGGTACACCAAGAAGCACAATATCAAACGTGTATGTTTACATTACACCCCATATCCAGGATGTGCACGCATGCGAAATAGCGTATCTTCGGCTTTCCGGGAAAGTGGTCTTTGAAATGCAGTTTACAACATCGATATTATAGTCTGTATTAGTCCATCAGTTATTCTGTCCTCTACTCCTAACTACGTGCAATAAAATTCTCAAATTAATATTGAATGTTGTGTCATTTTATGTACCTGGTGTGAACTTGTTTGTATACAGCACGTTTTCAAAAACTGGTTACAACTACTGGAAACGAGACATGAATGTCATAGTCCCAGTTATTTAATTATAAAATACTAGTGTTAAAATATTACATGGAACATCTGCAAACAATTGAATTAATATGTACTCTATTTAGGTACAACTCGTCATATAAAGTGATTTCCCTTAATATGATAACTAAAAACTGTCATTGACCCGGGTCCAAAATACACAAGTGCAACCAAACTACTATACATCTCATACATGCTCAGGAAACTGCATTCATAAATCTGAGTAAACCTTGATGTACCTTTAATAACAACTTGCCTTCTTTGTTAATTCAGGTCTTTGTATATTACCAGAACCTCGGTTTGCTTCAGTATCACCACTATAATTCCCATCAAAATGTAGCCCTGACACCCCTCTACAGTTTCCACTGAGATTCGTAATGGTACGATCGATCTGTCACTGATTCAGACATTTATTATGTGCATATTTACGTGCATATTCGGCACAGACTTGTTCATCAACCTGCCAAGTTTCATCAATACCTGCTGCAGTATTTCTGAGAAAATGTTAGAGACGTCACAGGAGGAAACTGGAAATAATAATTAATAATCCGCCTGAAGTGGGGACTAAAAATGTGATACAGTAGTTGTGGACTTACTGCATGCACCCAGAAATCTAGGTACCTAACACACCAAGAGTTGTCACATGGAACATAGTTTCATTCTCCTTGATGTTTGCCACAGTTGCCAGTCCCTGTAGTGTCTTTAGTTTAACACCTGCACGCAAGGTTCTATCCACTCAAAGCTGGTGAATAGTTCTCACTCAGTGGCTTAATGTTTTCACCACCAGTTCTCTCTTTCTATCACAAATTCACAAAATAGTTCTGCACTTTCCCTCAAAAGTTTGGGACAAAAAAGCCATATTTTTAAAGGAGAAACTGAAAATTGACTTAAATTTTGTCTGTTGGCTTCAAAATTTGGGTTTACTGCTAGAAATGTAAGTAAAAAGTGCAGAATAATTTAGGTGAGAAAGTCTGGTGGTGAAAATGTTTGCATCCTATCGAATCTGTGACGCACACAGCCAAGGTGAAGGTAAACCCATTTTTTTACACGAGGTAGGATTTAAACTTGTGAGTCCCATGCAACAACCAGTCACTGACATAGAGATGATGCTGATTTTATTTGATTGTAGAGTTGTTGTTTTATCGCAAAAGCATCTAAACTTTTGCAGATTGTGATGAAAGTTGAAAATGGTGATGAAATGTAGACAGGGTTACCATAGCGATACAGACATAAATATCTGAAGATGAAACCAATAACTTCAAAAGAAAAAGAAAATCAATTGTTGGTGTAACATTTTTTTTTATTTATCGTTGAATAAATGTTTTTTCAGTTCACAAAATCATTGCGTGTGAAACTAATCATAAAGTGAAAAAATGCAACATGAAAAATTATCATTTTGTTAATCACATCACCATGGTGACAAGTCTCCTGGGTGTGGTGTAAATTATTTATATAATACATGTGTGGTTTTGCATAAAAATATTAACTTGCACACTTTATAAGATTCAAAATTTTTCAAAATGTAATATTGAAAAACCTCCATTACAAACAACATAGCACAAGACAGTACTACTCCCTCCAGTGGTGAGGATAATGTCTGGGCCTTCGAAAGTTCTGATATGCAAAACAAATCCCATTTTGCTTCTGAAGCAACATGATACAGTAGTTGTAACAGTGTAAATAGAACAACATCTCAATAACTTTACTGTACACCTCTGAAAAGCCGCAGTCCCATCAGCGTAAAATGGTTCAAATAGATTTCAAGGGACTTCTTTTCTGATGAAAACCATTTTAAAGTTGGATTGCTAATTGATACAGAGTTGCAAGAGGTGTGATGAGGTCATGAAAAAGCAATAATTATAAGTATCAGACACAGAAAGAAGGTTGTATTTCTTTGATGTCTTTTCACATGAAAACAATGAATCTCAATGTCAATTCAATGTTGTTCAATTTCTCCTACCAACACCAATAATTCGACTTAAATATACAAGACAGAAAATGGAATCACCTGCACTCAATTAAACATAGCATCAAATTTAAGAAAAAGTCAAATTAAAGGGCAGTGGTCATTGCACCATGTCCTGTTCGATATAGGACTCATAGTGACGAACACAATGCGTGTAAAATACATTCGAAATTGAAACACATGTTGCACCAGGACCACCGCCCTTTAAGCATGGACATATTAAAGGTGCTGGTTCCAAGTTGCCAAAGTGAGGCTGCATACTCACATTCTAACATAATGGATCAACTTGTGCCAATATATAATATGTAAATGTGGGTGGGGCACACAAAGGTATACTATTTATTGTTCGGTACCAGTGTATATATATATATATATATAGGAATTACGTCCAAGACTTTTATTAGATGTCCGATTTAAAAACTACATTCAGAAAAACCAAATAGGGGATTTGACAGCAGATAAAGGATGTGAACATCTGTCAAAATACCCAAAGGTGGGGTGACGTTTTTAGTGGGTTGTCGTTTTCCCCTAAATACAAAATGTAGACAGAATTAAAATATTGTAATTTTTCATTACACAACTGTGTGATCTGGAACTCTATATCGGTGCCACAATAATTTTACATCAATGTAAAAAAAAATGTTTTTGCATAGGTAACAATATGATAAAATTACATAAAAATTACCACTAAATTTTTAAACATACAATATTAATTTTCAAACCTCAATTAAACAAATCGTAAATATAAACAAATTTGTTTTTTCAAACTGGAAAGTTACATGTATATCCTCTCTGCGGTCAACTTGTGGCCTAGCCGCAAGCCTCATTTTGAAACTGAAAACACAGCGCCCTCTACAGGTAAAACATGTCTAGAATGACATGCTAATACATTTGTAAATATTTCTTATTAAAATAAGGCGTATGATATGGTCGATACTTCACACACATGTTCGATATTGGTCACATATGACATACCCACACATGGGTACATGCAGTGTATGTGCGGTGACAATCGCCATCATTTGTAATTACCCATAATTGCACTTTGAAATGTACAAAACTATATATTATATATTTCTAACATTATCCAGGCTGAATTGCCGAGAGTCACTCCAAATGGTATGACAAACAAAAATGCCACTGTCAACAACAACAAAATAAAAATAACAGTTCCATTACATAATGCTATCTATGGTCCTTGTATATTGCTCCTTAGTAGGTATATGCTTATGTTAATAGCAGAGGTGTATGTGGTCAAATGAATTAAAATAATTTTAATCTGGCAAATACTATAAATACAGTCTTTGGTTTATTGCGCTTCTATTGGCAATACGCTTCTAATGGATCAAATGCGATACTATTAATTAAATAACGTTGATTTTATAAATACAATTACAGTTATCCTTTTCTCAATACATTGTAAGCAGATTCATTTTCGCTGCCAGAATGTTTTGCAATTTAATAAATACAAGTTCATAGCGACTAAACTTCACGAACATTTTTGTTTCAGGTACATAGTACATAGTTCGTAAAACATTTGTCTCCTGTGAAAGTATATAAAAAGAATAACGAACATGCTGATTATTATTGTGTGTTAGCAGAGTGGCAGAGTGAAGATGGGGATGTACTCAACAATACATGAAATGGAGTCAAGTCCATTTTTAAACGATAATAGAAACATGAATACTTTTTTCCTGGGCCTAAGAGGTATGGGATAAAATAGCTACCATAAAATCAAATTATATTTACTAGTTATAGCAGAGTTTTAATTTCACTAATTAACAAATTCAGCTAATTAAATTCTGGAACAATATTGTTTTGTTTTTCTATTTAAATCTAATGATTCAATCTTGTCAGAATCAGTAAATTGAAAGTAATGAAAGTGAAATTACTTTGATCCTAAGTCCTGCAGTGAATGACGAATGTGTGTTATTTTTTTTTTTTAGTCATTCATAGTCTTGATGTCATGGATGATGTCATTCATTTTATCAAGTAATAAAAATATCAATTTATGAGTATAACAGAATACTTTCACTGGAAAAAATAACACTAAAATCTTATGTTGCCGATTAAAGCAGTGTGCATAGTCACGTTTGTTATGAGTCATATGCATACATGTACACAATGCTTGTAAAATGTTTACACAACATTACAATGCACTCTGCGTGATGACTGTGACACGGTAACTATTATGTACTTGCTTGGCTTATATAGCGTCAAACAAATTCACTTTAATTAGCACTCGTTACTGCAACCACCAAGATCCACAGTCGTCGCACAACGCACGTTTGAATATCATGTAAACAAACAATGTATATTACACATAGTATACATCGGATGGGACCTGTATTGAACACGGCGCGATGTGACGACTGTGGTACAAGTCATGCAGATCACTACATCATTATTTTTCTTATTACTTTGCTCAAATGTAGGCAAGGTCTGAATTGCCGATTAAGCTCATATTTCTCTAGAAAATTAATTACCTCCGAGATTTGAATTATAACAGATAACTTCCCAGTAAGATAGGTGATGGATAAAGTGGAATCAGTTTAAATTCATTTAAAATGCCAGTCATCATATCATGTTGTTTTCGATATGTGTCCCAAGCGACAGAAATATACAACGTTGTTAGTTTCCATAACATTTTAGTGTTATTTATGGCAAGAGCGTCATCAGGGTACGCGAGATTAATTGCTTTCAAAGTGTTTGCTGTATTAGAAGCGTATTGTACTTAACAGTTAAAAACTAGCTCGTTAACAAATTTAAATTAAAACAAATGAGTGTAAGAATGATGTACTTGAAAATTTGATGAAAACCAATATGCAGAGTGAATCCAGAAACGAATACCGGTATATATTCATTGATCAATTAAAAAACGTGCAAGCTAAATGTAAAAAAATACATGGCTGGAATCTTTTTAACAATTACATACATACAATTTCAGTGGAATACGGAAATATAAGTTTTAATAATCAACACACAGTTATCAATGTATTGAATTCCATAAAAATATAACTTTTTCATAAATATCTGTTGAATCAATTTACTGTTGGGAAAAAACATCGTCAAATTGATTTGCCATCCCTTAATGCTGTTCAGGGTTGCCATAACAACAGCACACCAGCATAGTCTGGGGGTCAAAGGTCAAACTGCTGCTCAATGCTGGCCATCAGCTCCTCTTCGGAGACATCATAGTGAATGGATCTTTTCGAGTTTCTGGACGGCGGAAGTGGACTAAGAAGAGAGTTGGATATAATCGATAATTAATAAAATAAACAATTAAGAAAATGATGAAATGTGTCATAATAATCGACATGGAAACTTGTACAACTTGCGTTAACCCATAAATCCTATTCAGGTTTTTAGAGAAGAGTTTATGATTATGATTACAAGTTTTTAGCAGTTTATCAATAGACCGTTTTCGTAAGTGCATGGCCCCCGAAATCTCTTCAAACATTGTATTCACTGCTCTAAATATCAGGATTACATAAATCAATGGAAGCGTGAACGTGATGACAGGATAGAATGCAACACTTTGAGACGCAAAAAACAAGTTTTGTGGCTCTCTCACTTTCACCACGATTTCAGTGGGTATTAACGTCTAAGGTCGATCAATTATAAAGTACATCACAGCGAAAATCACCCCCAGAGTTTATTGTTATGGATAGTTTACAATAGGTGATTTCCCGTTCAACTGTGAGATCTCGCGAGTTGCATGAAAGACGCGCGACGAACGTCTGCCGCAAAAATCAATTGATTTGAATTTGAACTTGAATTTCTTTATTTCGTAACTCACAATGACCGGCCGTTCTTCAACAGAGGAAAATTGCCTATCATCAAATGTGGACATCACATTATTAAGCATGGAAATGTCCCCCAAAATACTTTGTCGAAGCCCACGCGTTGTTTGACGCCACTACAACGCTATGACCTTTGTTTGTCCTGTTTTTACGTTAGATTTCATGCACAACGTGGGATTTTCGCAGTGAACGAAAAATGTCTATAAAACCGATTATGTTGAGAATTTCTAGCGACAAGAGTTTTTAATCTTTTAATTACAAATAGACTGAGTATTTATACCTTGTCACCGTGAGAGCACCTTTGTTTTCTTCTTTTAAAGTTGTGTAAGTGATCTTTTCTTCTACATTTACCTTCTCTTCGCTAGTGTCCTGAAAAATAAATAAAAATATTAAAATTTTCATACATATCATTAAATGAATGAGTAATCTGATGAAATTGAACACAGGTAGAGCAACAAGATACAAGGCAAAATTTGATACGTCGAAAATATATGTCAACAAAGAAGCTGCTCTCTGATTGGTCTGATTATTAGGTGTTAGGGTTGGGTAGCCAATCAGGTACAATCTTGGAAGTAGTTTTGCATTGACTCAGAACCATTTCATACATTAGAAATTCACTGAGATTAAAGAAAGATCTGTAAGGTTTGAAGTTATACTGCCCCCTTGCTGTGAAATATGGAGAACATGTGAGTTGCTTGGTGTTAACATTTTTAAAACTATACTTTATCTCATGCGTCAGGATACATTTGTAATGAAGACACCTGATCACCTCATGTGTATTGATATTTAAAAAGATATGCTTTGGAATAAATAATAGGTCAATCATGAAAGTTCCTTGGTTTCGCAGATGTTTATGCATTCCTGAGTTAATAAATATCCCATTAGACGCCAACATGTACCCGCCCGACAGTGTCACTTTTACTTGTGTATGTGCGAAAAATGTGGAAATATTTTACGAGATATTCGTAAAATATCAAAAACATGTTTTTAATTCACACACAATAAATATGAATGACACATTTTGATATCTATACTTATATTGATTCCAAGATATGCTGAGGAGCAGGAGCACGTATTAAACTTGTGATTGTAAGCCATCACATGGTTGAAATAACTTTTGGAGTGTCTTCCTCAAAACAAGACCGATATTATAAACATTGAGATATTTGCAATAGTTATTGTTACATAACAAGTATCAAAGCAATTGAGCCGATAGTCGCAAATAGCATTTTTTACCAAAAATTTCAATTAAAAATATTAATTAAAAATAGAGAATTGAAGACATTATAACAAAATACTAGTAAACAAATGTGACAAAGATCCACCCAAGGCACCTACATGCCAAGTATCAAAGCAATTGAGCTTAATATTATTGAAAAAAAAAAAAAAAATTTCTTATCAAAATTATCACTAAAAATAGAGAATATAGAGGTATATCAAGTATCAAAGTAATTGAGCTGGTAGTTTTCAAGAAGTAAAAAATTTAATTGTTGACGAATGACGGATCAAAGACACACATTCACATGAGAGGATAAAAAAATTCAAACTGTTCTAGAGGTCTTTTAACCAAATTTATAGAGAATCTAAAGCGCCTATAGAAAAACGTTTTCATTTAGTTATTTCAACAGTTTTCATTGTGTATATATACACGCTTTGCGGTTTACAGATTGCGAATATTTTTAAAATACACACGATAGACGCTAGACAATTTCGAAACATTTGTATGAGGTTTACAAGTTATAATAGATTAACACCATAAATAATTAATGCGACTGATATGTCAAGTGCGTTTAGAACTCATTTTTTGCACAGTCGTCTCAGTCAGCCAGCCTTTATAATGGTTGTCAGTTACTATTTACGTGATCCAATGCTGTTGTAATACTGTCAATGTAATCAACAGAATACAAAAACTCGTGGTGAAATCATAATACGTAGTCATCCGTGAAGCGTACATACGTACGTGTGCTACGTGACAATGATACTTTTTTTTTGTCTTTGCAATTACGAGTAGTTTTCTGATTTTGTCCCTCAGGTTTCCTGCTCCCCCTCCCCTATCTCTAACCCCCCCCCCTATTGCAACAATGGAATATCTTGTTATAATAGATAAAGATGATGTTATAATAAGTGTCTGGTTTAATGATGCCTTGCTGCCATGGCAACATACCAGGCATTATTGACATGATAATAATTACAGCATACATTGGACATGTGACTGTTAATATATTCACAGTTATATCGTGCTTTATAGTCACAATACGTTATTATATACAGACAGTCTATCTTGACAAATTTAAACTGTAACACTCGGAGAACACGTTTATAAAGAAAGCAAGTTTAGGTTTTCTTCAAGAAAACTCTTCTAGTTTACATAATTATTCATAGAGTGTGACAATTAGAATTAGCTCAGAGAAAAAAATAGCGATATGAAACCAACCAGGGAACTTTATTAAAATGTTTTGTTTTTTGTTTTTTTTTAGACAGATGGTCTTTATATAGAAATTGGATTATTTTTTGATGGGTCGCCGAGTCATACATTTGACATAATATTTTTGTCCAGATAAATTAATGAGATAGAACTGTTAAAATTAAATTTATATGAGTTGATCAAAATCAAATAAGGAAAATGAAAATTTTTTTATAAACAGAATGCTAATTATTATTTTGGTTTCTAAACAAAGGTGAATAGACAAAATATTGCTGAAAGAGTGGTCACTATAGACAGGTGGTCTTTATACACAGGTTGCTTATACGTTATGTCTTGGAACTGCCTAAAAGTGGTCACTATAGACAGGTAGTCTTTATACACAGGTTGCTTATACGTTATTATACCTTTGAACTGCCTAAAAGTGGTCACTATAGACAGGCAGTCTTTATACACAGGTTTCTTATATGTTATTATACCTCTGAACTGCCTAAAAATGGTCACTATAGAGAGGTGGTCTTTATACACAGGTTGCTTATATGTTATTATACCTTTGAACTGCCTAAAAGTGGTCACTATAGACAGATGGTCTTTATACACAGGTTTCTTATACGTTATTATACCTCTGAACTGCCTAAAAGTGGTCACTATAGACAGGTGGTCTTTATACACAGAATGCATATACGATATTATACCTTTGAACTGACTAAAAGTGGTCACTATAGACAGGCGGTCTTTATACACAGGATGCTTATAGTTATGTCTTTGAACTGCCTAAAAGTGGTCACTATAGACAGGTGGTCTTTATATACAGGTTGCTTATACGTTATTATACCTTTGAACTGCCTAAAAGTGGTCACTATAGACAGGCGGTCTTTATATACAGGTTGCTTATACGTTATTATACCTCTGAACTGCCTAAAAGTGGTCACTATAGACAGGTGGTCTTTATACACAGGTTGCTTATACGTTATGTCTTGGAACTGCCTAAAAGTGGTCACTATACACAGGCAGTCTTTATACGCAGGTTGCTTATACGTTATGTCTTGGAACTGCCTAAAAGTAGTCACTATAGACAGGTGGTCTTTATACACAGAATGCATATACGCTATGTCTTGGAACTGCCTAAAAGTGGTCACTATAGACAGGTGGTCTTTATACACAGGTTGCTTACACGTTATGTCTTGGAACTGCCTAAAAGTGGTCACTATAGACAGGTGGTCTTTATACACAGGATGCTTATACGTTATTATACCTCACTATAGACAGATGGTCTTTATACACAGGTTGCTTACACGTTATGTCTTGGAACTGCCTAAAAGTAGTCACTATAGACAGGTGGTCTTTATACACAGGATGCTTATACGTTATTATACCTTTGAACTGCCTAAAAGTGGTCACTATAGACAGGTAGTCTTTATACACAGGTGTTATACATTATTATAACTTTGAACTGCCTAAAAGTGGTCACTATAGACAGGTAGTCTTTATACACAGGGTGCTTATACGTTATGTCTTGGAACTGCCTAAAAGTAGTCACTATAGACAGGTGGTCTTTATACACAGGTGTTATACATTATTATACCTTTGAACTGCCTAAAAGTGGTCACTATAGACAGATGGTCTTTATACACAGGTTGCTTATACGTTATGTCTTGGAACTGCCTAAAAGTAGTCACTATAGACAGGTGGTCTTTATACACAGGATGCTTATACGTTATTATACCTTTGAACTTCCTAAAAGTGGTCACTATAGACAGGTAGTCTTTATACACAGGTGTTATACATTATTATAACTTTGAACTGCCTAAAAGTGGTCACTATAGACAGGTAGTCTTTATACACAGGGTGCTTATACGTTATGTCTTGGAACTGCCTAAAAGTAGTCACTATAGACAGGTGGTCTTTATACACAGGTGTTATACATTATTATACCTTTGAACTGCCTAAAAGTGGTCACTATAGACAGGTAGTCTTTATACACAGGTTGCTTATATGTTATTATACCTTTGAACTGCCTAAAAGTGGTCACTATAGACAGATGGTCTTTATACACAGGATGCTTATACGTTATGTCTTGGAACTGCCTAAAAGTGGTCACTATAGACAGGTAGTCTTTATACACAGGGTGCTTATACGTTATGTCTTGGAACTGCCTAAAAGTAGTCACTATAGACAGGTGGTCTTTATACACAGGTGTTATACATTATTATACCTTTGAACTGCCTAAAAGTGGTCACTATAGACAGGTAGTCTTTATACACAGGTTGCTTATATGTTATTATACCTTTGAACTGCCTAAAAGTGGTCACTATAGACAGATGGTCTTTATACACAGGATGCTTATACGTTATGTCTTGGAACTGCCTAAAAGTGGTCACTATAGACAGGTGGTCTTTATACACAGGTGTTATACGTTATTATACCTTTGGACTGCCTAAAAGTGGTCACTATAGACAGATGGTCTTTATACACAGGATGCTTATATGTTATACCTTAGAACTGCCTAAAGGTGGTCACTATAGACAGGTGGTTTTATACACAGGATGCTTATATGTTATACCTTAGAACTGCCTAAAGGTGGTCACTATAGACAGGTGGTTTTATACACAGGATGCTTATATGTTATACCTTAGAACTGCCTAAAAGTGGTCACTATAGACAGGTGGTCTTTATACACAGGATGCTTGTACGTTATGTCTTGGAACTGCCTAAAAGTAGTCACTATAGACAGGTGGTCTTTATACACAGGATGCTTATATGTTATACCTTAGAACTGCCTAAAGGTGGTCACTATAGACAGGTGGTCTTTATACACAGGATGCTTATATGTTATACCTTAGAACTGCCTAAAGGTGGTCACTATAGACAGGTGGTCTTTATACACAGGATGCTTATACGTTATGCCTTGGGACTGCCTAAAAGTGGTCACTATAGACAGGTGGTCTTTATACACAGGTTGTTCATTAATAAGCGATCATGTTAGTTGTTACGCCAAAGATTGGTGAACCCCAGTTAGGTTTTTTGTATTCTGGCGAAATTCACAAAAATTTGTTTTGTAATATAGCCCATCTAACAGATCGTCAAACAGGGAATCCTGTGTATGATTTGTTGACTTAGTGATACCCTAAGATGGTGAAAATTCATTCACAACTAAACTAACAAAACTGCTCTGTGACAATCATGCAGCTACTGTTTTGCAAATACTATAGCTGTTGTATATATTACAGTACACGTACTACTTAACAATTGTTTGCTGACAATACATCTTTAACTTCTTCACCAAAATAGTCCCATTTATAGTCTGCACTTTCTTTCAGAAGATTGAGACAAAAATAGCCAATTTTTTAGTAAAAACTGAAAATTGACTCAAATTTTGTCTGTTGGCTCTAAAATTAGAGCTCATTCATTTCCAGAAACATTGAAAAAAAAAAAAAAAATGCAGAAAAATTTGGGCGGGAAAATCTGGTGGCGAAAAAATTGAGAAGTTGCACTCGCCAAAAAAAATAAAAATAGAATTATACTAACCTTTTTCATATTAGCAGCCTTGAATTTGATTGGATCAAACCCATTTTGTACCTGAAATGAAAGAAGACATTTGATGAATTATATGACTGATAACAATTTACAAAATAATCATGTGAAATCTTTCCTACAATTGACAATATGACCATAATTTCCGTAAAATTTTACAGAAACTATAAACGACAGTTGCCAAATTATCTCCTCTGCAAATGTTATCATTCTGCAAACAAAGAGTCAATCTGAATTCCCCGCCGTTCTGTTCATAACAATATGTAACGTCTGTTGACGAACATGACAAGCAGCCGTAATGGCACGATTCAATCACAGAAAGATGATTATCATCAAAATTGTCTTTAACGAATAGCGAAATATCTTTCTAATCAGCTTGTTGCATCATTAAAGGTCACTGGTTGCGAAAAATGATAATTTGTTCATCCGCGAGAGCGTCAACGGAAATTCACTAAAGTAATCTGATTAACGGCGTAACACTTTTGAAAATTCTATAATGAGCATAATTTTTCATTTGTTGGGAAATTATTTAGATTTACAAGGGAAAATTATCATTGGAATTAGGACTTTTGAAAAAAAAAAGTTAATTATGATTGAATGGTTTCATTTCAATAATCATATGAAGTCAATTTTAAATTTGATTTTTTTAACCTTTTCACCCCCAGACTTTCCAGCCCAATATATTCTGCACTTATTTCTTATATTCTTCAATATTTCTGGAAATGAAACCTAATTTTGTAGCCAAGAGACAAAATTTGAGTCTATTTTCTGTTTTTACTCGACAAATTTATCTTTTTTTTGTCCCAATCTTCTGAAGGAAAGTACAGACTATAAACAAGACTATTTTGTGAATTTTTGATGAAAAAAGCGAAATTGGTGGTGAAAAGGTTAACATGGAAACTGTTTCAAATATATTTCATAAAAAAAAAATATGAATAATTATGTAATAATTTTGAAATTAAAATTGTGATTATAACGTCGCCGTTATTATAGGATAAATATCAATAAACTGCTATATAGGCATGTTTCTATTCACCCGTTACGAATATGCCATCAACATGTCAGGCATTGAAGACGATGACAACACAAAGAAGGCACTTACTCGTCTCAGGAAATCAGCTGTAGCTTGTGATTTCGCACAGGGCACATCCATTTTCGAAACACACAAACGATAATAGCAAACAAATTAATAAATCGCGACAATGAAATCAAGGATATTTATCCAGCGTCAGAAATTCACCGCGAAGTCAACAACAACAGCTCATCGTGAGAGCATTCATTGAGACTACCGATGTGAACGACCGCACTACTGTCTGATGAATACTTGTTCCTTGATGAAATTTTTCTATAAGAAACGGCCGGTGATTCAGTATGGGCATCCCGTAGGGTTAATTAGACAGATGTATACGACTGAACAAAGCAAAACCTCATCACTGATGATAATCTGTGATGAATAAGTCCGTTCAAATTAATAGAAATTAAATTCACCCTCCTGAGGGCTGGCATTGTATACAATATTAAGTTATCGCCATGGCAATACATTTTGTGGGTACATATGAGGTTGATGGTTGAGTAATTATTACACACGGAAATAGATGCAGCATCACTAGTATACCAGACTGGTGGATTGTCATGGAAACTAGCTAATACCAGAAGGACGTTTATTGACAAGGATATGCTCATCATTTGCCATGGTAACAAGCAAGATGATATCCAAAAAAACAGTCAGTATCTTTTTGAGGAAATCTCATTTACGAATTTTTCATGATGCAAAAAAGAAAACAAAACACCTTTGTGATTTCAGTAAAATATATAAACCAAATAAAAATGCAAATGACAGATATGCAAAAAGTAATTTCAGTTATGAAGGAGGCATGCTGTCAAAAATGGAAAAAATGAAATCTATAAAAACTAATTTAATTTGAAATTTGTGTAGTATAAGTTGAAAATTTCAGACACAAAACTACATAGACCCTGCCTTTCAAGCTGGTTAGGTACTGTAGAATACTTTATTTCCGCTTAGAATTTATTTTCGCTGTAGGAATGCTTCAGTGAAAATAAAATCCAGCGAATATACTTTTTTTCCTATGTCTCACATTCAACTCATCAAAAAACAGTGAAAATAAATTCCATACAAAAAACCCAAAAGCTTTTTCAGCGAAAATTAATTCCAGCGAAAATAAAGTATTTCACAGTATTTTAATTAAATTAGACTGTATATACATTTTAATTAGGAGATAATTCGATGGAATGACGTTGAGTGTTGATTGTGCAGAGCGACTACAGAAATTGCACAGTGTGTGTTTAAGTTTCCTGTTGTATTTTTGTATACCAATATGCCACATGGAACCCACGTCAGGATGGGAACAGTCGTGCTTTAACGTTTAATTCAAGCATGAATCTGTCTGTCTGTCACTCCCCCGCTGACATTTTTATTACATGTCATGACATAGCACGGCCTTAACAGCATTTTAAGACTTGCAGCTGTCAAATTACTGTTGAATCGTCAAGCTGGGCGGCATTTTCAACAGCGATTAGAAGAGATTTAAATCTCCATGCACATATGATTCACGTACTCTATACACGTATGTATCAGAGAAAGGTTTAATTATATATGTAATATAAATAATACAACAAGTTTTTTTTTTTTAATTTACAACCCCCCTGATTTTTTTTTTCAAGATTTGCCAATTGTTGTTTCATTTTACTGTCATTATCTTTCATGTCTCTTGGCACAATACAGTCTGATCGTCATGGAGACTACTGCACGATCACCATCTTGAATACTTGATTCATCTTGAAAATTTGTGTTTGTGTTGCATCCAGCTTAAATTCACGCATGTCAAATCCAAAATTGAATGCTTAAACTTTTTCTCCATCTGTTCCCTCTTTTCATCGAAAATTCACAAAATAGTCATTTATAGTCTGCACTTTCCTTCAGAAGATTGGAACAAAAATAGCAAAATTGTTAAAGTAAAAACCAAAAAAATCAATTTAAAAAATTTAATACAGGCTGACATTTTGCTCAAATTGGCTGTTGGTGGCACTGTTGCAAGATCCAGAAATATTTGATTTTGCAACAAAGCTTTTCTATCAATGCACAACTTCCCCTTATCTAAATTAGAGGTGTTTTTAAGCATCATCCTTGATTCCGCTTAGCAAAAGGTAATGTAGATATTCTTTAGATAGAAGACTATTCATAATTTTTGAGAAAGTTGGCATAAATCACATGACAATGTTCATTGGTTTATTATGTAAAATCATGGAGCTATTGTCTCATGGCATCATGAAATAGCCTTCTTTTGTGTGTTACAGTGACGTATTTTGAGAAACTTGTGCTAATATTTTTTTCAAAATTGCTAATTTTAGAACAATTCCATAGAACACTTTTTAACTTTTAACTTTTTAAAAACCCTGATTTTTAAAATTTATTTAAGTATTCTATCAAATGCAATATATAATTACTATGGTACCAGACAACAATTTAAGATATGTCATATAATATCTCTGCCATAGGAACCTATGGTAAAAGCATTATAATACCGACAAAATGGCCACTATCCACTAAAATACAATCATCATTTTCTTGAAAATAGGACGGTGTTTCCCAATATCCTTATACTGTCTGAGAGTACAATTTATTGCAAAATGAATGGATACTTTTCTGCAGGAATTTAAACAACAAAATTGCTTGTTGTCCCAGCATTTCCAAAAAAAACAAAAAACTTTTTCTCAAACCTAACATTCTTTGATTTCTTTTTTGACAGTTTACAGATTGTAGCAGCTGTAGAAGAAAACGAACTACCGGTACTTGTTTCCATGGAAACAATGATTTTTCCTAACAAATTTGAACTTTTTTTGGAGATTATATACATTTATTTATTGACTTTGGAAAGTATAGCTGTAAAGTCACTAAAAACTACAAGACAATAAAAAAAAATTATTATAGAATGGGATTGTTGTCAGGACAAGATCTACTTTATTTTAACCACCATTATATATTTCAAGCCATTTGTATGTTTCATAAATAAATAATGAATTCCTTCTATGCCCACTCAAGTGAACCCTATGCCCCTATAAAATAATGGTAAGTTCTTGCTTGCATTCCTACACTTTGTAGCAATGGGGGCTTTTTAGTGAGTCATTAATCTTCTAACTGTCATTATCTGACCTTGACTTACATGGTATACCTGATGTATTGCCCAACTTCAATCAGAGCCAATACAGTCATTATTATTTGTTTTTAAGGGTGATGCTTGACAGGTTATTATTTGTTTTTAAGGGTGATGCTCAACAGGTAATTATTTGTTTCTAAGGGTGATGCTCAACAGGTAATTATTTGTTTTTAAGGGTGATACTCAACAGATAATTATTTGTTTTTAAGGGTGATGCTCAACAGGTAATTATTTGTTTCTAAGGGTGATTCTTGACAGGTAATTATTTGTTTGTAAAGGTGATGCTCAACAGATAATTATTTGTTTTTATGGGTGATGCCTGACAGGTAATTATTTGTTTTTAAAGGTGATTCTCAACAGGTAATTATTTGTTTCTAAGAATGATGCTCAACAGGTAATTATTTGTTTCTAAGAATGATGCTCAACAGGTAATTATTTGTTTTTAAGGGTGATACTCAACAGGTAACTATTTGTTTCTAAGAATGATGCTCAACAGGTAATTATTTGTTTTTTAAGGGTGATGCTCAACAGGTA